GTCTTAATAATGTCACAACAAAAGATCGTTATCCAATGCCACGCGTTGATGATATATTTGATCGCTTATCCGGATCACGGTACTTTACAACATTAGACCTTCGACAAGGTTATTGGCAAATTCCACTGGCGGAGCACGACAAATACAAGACGGCTTTCGTTACTATGGACGGGTTGTTTGAATTTAATGTTATGCCATTTGGCTTGGTCAATAGTCCCGCCACGTTTCAGAGAGTCATAAATTCTGTTCTAGCACAACATCGCTGGGATATTGCTATGGCCTACCTGGATGATATAATTATATTTTCGAAAACTTTAGATGAACATCTAACCCACATTAATCGCATATTAACAACATTAGCACAAGCAAAATTAAGAATTAATTTAAAAAAATGCAATATGGTTAAAACCGAATTAAAATATTTGGGTCATGTCATCAACGAAACGGGTATTCATCCTTGTCCAGAGCATGTGAAAGCAATACAAGATTTTGCATGCCCAACAACAATTAAAGGTGTACGTTCATTCTTAGGAATGGCATCATATTACAGAAAATTCATTAAAAATTTTGCATCAATCGCGGCTCCTCTTCATCAGTTAACGGGAGGTACAAAATCATCGAAAGAACAACCAAGAAGAACAAGTCATGACACATCAACAATTGTATGGAGACCCGAACATCAAGAAGCATTTGAAACACTAAAAGAGAAGCTGATTAACCCACCAGTATTAGCATTCCCAACAACAAACGGTACATTTAAATTAAATTTATATACGGATGCATCTAAGTATGGGATAGGCGCGATATTACGTCAACAACAACCTGATGGTGAAAAAGTCATTGCATACTTATCAAGACGGTTGTCTATCCCAGAACAAAAATATTCAACATCGGAACAAGAGTGTTTAGCGGTCGTGTGGGCATGTGGAAAATTAAGACCATATTTATATGGTAATCGTTTTACGGTAATAACGGATCATCACCCGTTGTGTTGGTTGAACAAGAAACTATCAAACAACGGCCGACTAGCACGATGGTCGTTACAATTACAAGAATTTGAAATGGATATTAAACATAAATCGGGAAGGCTCCACTGTGATGCCGACTGCGTGTCACGGTATCCTGTAGGTGCACCGGAAGAATTAGATGAATGGGTGTTGGCTATTGATGATAGTATGAAGGTAGATACATTTGATTTAACAACATTAAAACAAGCACAAGAGAACGATTCAAACATCCATGGAATTTACACAGAACTGGGATCATCGGCATCACCACGAAGTCGTGTGCATCACCAATATGTATTAATCAACGATATTGTTCATAAAGTTGTTCGGAGACAAGGTAAAACAACGTTGCATTTAGCATATTTACCAAAGTCTTTGATCTCAACCGCTATGAAAAATTACCACGATCACCCAACAGCATCACACTTCGGGATTTCGAGAACCTGGTATCGGCTACGTGACAAATACTACTGGCCGCAAATGTTTAATACAATTGTATCATATGTTAAATCATGTAAAAGTTGCCAACGATTTAAGCATCGTCGTATGAAACCAAGTGGTACATTAGAACCAATACCACCTCCCGCTGGGCCATTTGAATTAGTAGGATTAGATTATTTAGGGCCATTACCAACATCAGTCAATGGTAACAAGTACGCGTTAGTATTAACAGATTATCTAACCAAATATGTGGAGACGAAAGCGGTACCACAACCCACAGCACAAAACGCAGCAAAATTCATAGTGGAACAAGTAATTCTTCGTCATGGCACACCAACATGCATATTAACAGATCGAGGCACACATTTTACAGCGGAATTATTTGAAAATATTGTGAAACGCTGTGGTGCCAAGCACATTAAAACAACGTCGTATCACCCGCAGGGTAATGGTCTTACGGAAAGAATTAATGCATCATTGGCCGATAAACTAGCTATCTATGTAAACCAACAGCAGACGGATTGGGACGAATATCTCCCTTTCGTGACTTCATCGTACAATACATCTCGACATTCAGCTACTGAATTAGAACCAGCGGTATTATTATATGGACGAAAACCAACGTCGCCATTTCAACAATGTTATGAATCAATCACGATACCCAAAGCATTGGATTATGCTGTACAAGTTGACAGGTATTTAAAACAAGTTCGACAAGATGCACAAACAAATATTTATCGACGGCAACGACAATATCAACAATATTATAATCAAGGAAGAAGTGATATCAAGTGTAATATCGGACAACTAGTGATGAAGAAAGTGATGGGTAGAAAGCCGGGGAGATCAGCAAAATTAGATGAGAAATGGAACGGACCATGGCGGATTATTAAACAACAAGGACGATTGAATTACGTTATTGAAAATATATTAACAAAACAACAAGATGTAGCTCATGTACAAAAACTATGTCGGTGTTAGGTGCTCAATTTTAACGGATTTCAGTTCCAGATATTCACACAACAAACACAACGACTACCGTATTCCTGTTACATAATGGCATTCCGGATCAACAGTAAAAGTCCATCGGCGCCTGCATCAGCAGCTAAACACAACGCAAAGTTACTTTCGACTACAAGAAAAGAAGCTTTTATAGTTTTCTCTAAATACGGTCAAATTTTTCTGCGATTTAATTCCTTCTTAATTGTTTCTACTAGTCAGTTACTGACGAGGACGTCAGTCCTTCATCACCGGGAAACGAATGTTAGATAGACATTTGTACTCCGTAGAACTCTGTATTATACAGTCACTTTCTCGCCGCATGTCATTGTCTTTTTTTATTCTTGATTTCTTTCCATTAGTCAGTCACTTATGTATGGTGTGATACTACTCCTTTTTGTTATACAATTCATCTTTGTGATGAGTGAAATTTTTAAAATTAACCTCCGTTGCCTACTATTTCGTTCATATTGTCATTGAGAAGTATTTTATTCTAATTTTCCATGAAACACTGAATTGTAAGAAACTAAATTTGATTAATTTAAAGTTTAAAAGCTATTGAAACACGAGTAAAACAGTGGTTCATCTTGTATATAGTTTGATATAGAAAAATATTTTCTCATCATTTCATTTTAACCTTCATTTGAAAAGAAAGAAATTGTGTATTGAACAACGGTTCCCGACAGTTTGATGAAATCGTGCGAAAATATTCGACTGTTTTAGCAAACTTTATTTGTATGCCCGGTGAAAAAAAATGATACATTGCGGTTTTAATTTGTATTGTGCTGTTACTGAAAAAATCGTGGTTACATATATGTGAAAAACTTCAAAAGAATCTTACTGAAAAGCTATAAGTATCAAATATGATTCGTGCATAAGTCTTAGCAGATATTTAAAATGAACTTCCGCAGGAAAGTCTCAAGTATTTCGCACGAGTCTTACAAGAAGCTGAGAAGAGATTCGTAAGAAAGTTATAAGAACTGTTATGTACATCTTATGTGTTTCTAAGAAACTTTCTTATGAAATTCAGGGATCCTAGAATCCAAGAATCTAATGTATCAGTGGTATAGGTACTCTGTGTAGGGCAGAACAGTAACAGAAAATCAATAGTTAAGAATCTGTATTGGGGTGGGACAGTTCCAGTTCAGTTCTTTTCAAACAGTTAAAATTGACATAAAATCTATGAACCTACTTACATTGACTTTGTATAGTGCGCTAGAGGTAGATGGTGTGTTTAGTCCACTAAACCAAGTCAATATAACTAGCTACATCGATTTTACTTTGAATTTTTGTAAAGAATTGGTAACGAGCTCCCGTTCAACAGGAACTGAACTGGTGATCAGTTCTTAGGAACTGGAACTGTCTTCCCCTCTCCCCGATCTGTAAGAAAGAATGACTATACTGTAGCAAACTGAATTACTTTCTGAAATACCGTATAGTACAAAATATTTATCTGAATCCAATACGCGTCTCGAAAAAAATTTGTATAAATAGATAAGAATTACATGAGAATTCTCTTGTGAAACTTGACCAAGACCTTGAGTGAAAGATTAAAGAATCTTCTTCAAATTCAAAGCTTTTTAATGCTTTTTCCAAGATCTTGTGACATTTTTAAGCCAAAGATCTGGGGTACAAAGAAGCACTGGGGTTCTTATCACTTTCTTATAAGATTCGTATAATACCCTCACGCAATCCATGGAACTTTTTTGCAGAATCTTATTTAAGAAATCAGATTTATTAAGTGATTTTCGTCTAGGGTGGTTGCCATTGGGCCGCCGATCTTGCTGATCTGCGCGAACGCTAAAGACCGATATCAACCATGAGCACGAAGATGACTGTGAAGCTCAATAAAATACAATTGGCAATGGAGATAAGCACGAGATGAGACTGCGCTGACGGATGAGGCGCTGAAGCACAAGCGGTTACAATTGTATGTTGCAGACGAACAATTGCAACCAATTCAATATTGCCAGTCAGAAAAAGAAAAGATTATTTCTCGATGCAGCCAGCTAACTCTGCTACCGTAAAGGAATTCTGTGACGTTTTTTCAACATTTTGTTTTGTTTATAAATCGGAAAAATAGAAACAGTCTCGTTTTTTATGGAACACTGTCGAGGTCGATCGTTCCGGCCGCCGGAACCGTCACGGAACCGACCGATTTTGTTGTATTCGGTCATCGTTCCGGTCGTATCTTTTAAGGCTCGCGTAATTCAAAAATCAAGCACTATTTTATTTTTAGCTTCTTTATATATGATTCAATAGAGGATTTGAAGCTGATCACCAATATCGCCTTTTTAGCCCTTCCAGGGTACGTTTGCGCGTCAAAAATTTGAAAATACGGGAAGGGTCATAAAATCCGAAAAACTTTCTCGTTTCGAAAAAAGTTAAGTACTTTTTCTTCCTTTTATATTGAAACTCTCAAACAGCATTTTTCCAATTCAGCGTTGAAAATTGAATTTCAAAATGTGTTTTTGATGCTTCTTATATGTAATGTCATTGCACGAACAATTCATCTTCAAGGACATCTCCAAAGCGAAGACCTCGTCGGCAAAAGCTATCTAGATTTTTTTCGTAAAATATAGAACGTTCATTCTTGCACCATTCGATCGGTCTTTATTAGTACTACAAAGGTATAACTCGTTTTTTTTGAAATTCCTCTTCATTGCTGAGAAATTTCACTTTTGCTAAATCAGGAGCGAAAAAATCGGAATTGTAATTCTCGATTTTCTCTACCAGAACTCACTTTTTATGCAATAGAAGTGTCATATTGAGAGTCAGCGTCAAAAACTGAGTCGAATGATATATGATTTGAAAGTTTCTGTTGATTTTCATTTTTCGGTGAAAATCTCACTTTTGTGTGTTTCGAAATTTATTGAGATTTTCACCAAAAAATGAAAATCAACAGAAACTTTCAAATCATATTCGACTCAGTTTTATTCCGACGTGTTGCTAGCACGGGATTCTGTCGGGTTTCCTGCTCGGAAAAGTCCCACGACTTTTTCTACTAGAACCTGTCAAAATAACTCGGAAACAGAACGGAACCTATCGCAGGAACAGTCAGCCGGAATCCGGTTGCAAGTAGCACGTCTGAACATAAAAGAAACCGGCCGGTTTCGACCGGGCAAGAATGATCTGGATCGTTACTTCACTGAAGTTGTTAGAAGCAAACAGTTTGTCAGCGGATGATACCATTGGACCATATCTGCCTACTTCCTATATTGCTGCTATACGGAAATTAAGTTAGGAAAAATGCCTGTTTCGTAGAAGATCAACTAGTTCAGATATCCTGAAAGTTTCAGCGATTCCTGAGAACGTTAGCTGTCTCCATTATCTACTATCCGTTTCAAAACACCGTGGACTTTGTTGTTTTATAAAAAACTTTTGATACAGATGAGATAGCGACCTGCGATTTTCAGTTTTGAAAACTAGATACCTAACCACATATTGTTGTAAGCAAATGTGAACTTGGGGAAATCTTCTGAAGTGGATTTTTAGAGGATCTTCGGAAAACTAGAACCGCAGAAAATCCAGGTTTCACTTTGCTCCCCTTTTGAAGAAAACACCTCGCCCTATCAGTCCATGAAAAAAAATCAATATATTCCTATATGAATTTCGGCAAATTCAAGCCAGTTTTCTGAAGGTCCTCTAAAAAACCCGCTTTAGAAGTTTTCCCCAAGTTCACGTTTTCTTTCAGCAATATGTGATCAGATATCTAATTTTCAAAACTGAAAACTGCAGGTCGCTATCTCATTTCTATCAAAAGTTATTTATAAAACAATCAAGTGCACGGTGTTTTAGGATGGATAACAGTCACTTTTACGGATATGTGTAAGAAGTAACAGATCATGAATTTTACTTTTAAATTTTGTTTTGTCTTTAGAGTTATTTTGTCGTCTGTTAATTTATAACAACATTCTTCTGGATAGAAGAACAATCTCGCCCATTCTAAAATACAAAACAACAAAAAATGGCTGATACATCAACGAAAAACGTACTTGTTCGATCAAAATCTGAAAGAATGGATAATAGAAGTCGACGAAATTCCATTGAATTTTTAACGATGTCACAAACATTACAATTAAAATTGGATGAAAGACGTGCATCGCAATTATCATTAATAAAAAGAAAAATTGTTAGTGCTGAGAATCAGTTAAAAAAGCAAAAAAGTGAAGAAGTAGAAGAAGTCTCATCAATAAAACGTCGTTTAAGTGACGTTGACTCGGTTATTGATTTACATCCCGATGTTGATAATCCAACACCACATACCGATGTACATCATATACCATTAAGAGATTTAATTCAACGATTTAACACAAATATACAAAATGGATTAACAACAGCTCAAGTGAATGAGAAAAGAGAAGAATATGGTAGAAATATTTTAACACCACCATCATCACCTGGCTATATTTGGATGTTTACAAGACAAATATTAATTGGGTATGTATCAAATTAGTTTTGATAGTATATGAAATGAACAGATCTCTATCATTAATAGATTCAATGGTGTTTTATGGTTGGCTGCTTTATTCGCTTTTCTAAGTTACAAACCATTCGGTAATTATCTGAAGACAAACAAAATAAGCTGTTTCTTTCGTTTTACAGAGAATAAAGTTCCTTTTTTTTATTTACACAGTTTAATATCTGCCTACAAGGCATTGAAAAGTTTCAAGTGAGAAACAATACGACTTTGTCAAGCATATTAAGGGCCACGCCCCCCCTTCCACTCAGAAATGATTTTCGACACCGTACATCCGATCTTGATCAAACTTTCCATAAATGCTCGGTTTAATGAGTTACCTGAATGAATACACTTTTTTTCTCCAAGTCTTTCGGTTTAGGAGTTTTCTAGAGATGAAGGCCTAAAAAGTACCCCAAGATGTTTTAATATACTTTAAGCTGAAGAGTTCGGGTTTGTTTTATTTTAAACTAGACACCTACATGGACTGACCAGCGCCGATTTTTCAATTAAGCCTTTATTGGTTTTCCAGGCAACCAACAATCTCGAAACACCGAAAAATCATCAGTTTGAGAAAAACTAAGACTAATGCGAAAATCGGTGCCGGCAGTGGCGGCGCGAAGAGGTTGGAAGCATGGGGCGGTAAATCCAAAAATGGGAGTAAGGTCTCCAAAAATAAGCCCCTGACTTTCCGAGATCATGGTGAAGTATAAATAATTGATGAGCATCACTCATTAAGTTTGCCTAAACGTTACAGTCACTGTAATTTTCTCAGACGTAGGCGGAAAAAAATTGAAATAAGTCATCTAATCGATTAAGAAAGCTTCTTCAAAGAACACATTTAATATCGGTTTTCGGAGAAAGCAGCACTTTAGTATTCGAAAAAACCAAAATCGGAGTAAATCATCCCTCAGGTTTCTCCGAAATTCGGAGTAAATCGTTCTTATCTTTTCTCAAATTACGAGTAAACCGTTCTTGATTTTGTTCAAAATCGGAGTAAATCACTCTCCGAGTTTCTCCGAAATGAGAGTAAATCGTTCTTATCTTTTTCCAAATTTGGGAGTAAATCGTTCATATTTTTTCACAAATTGGGAGTAAATTTGACCAAATTTTTAAAAAAGTATGGGGGGGGTATATAGAGAAAACCTAGACAACTTGCTCAGAATCCGCGAAAAACTACTTTTGTAACCAGAACCAATACGGATTCTGAAAGTAGATACTCCGGGCAATCTTTCCATGTGCATATCTCAAAACCGATGTTTTGACCGAAAATCGCTACTTCTGAGGCCTCTTAAGAGAAGTCGAATCGAGACGAGTTGACTGTTCTCAAAATGCATATAGTTCACTGAGACGTTTCCCATTTACACCGACCTGATCTATGCTAATAAGTGTTTTTAGTAAACTTTTACTGTTTGTTTGTTTGTTTGTTTGTTAGTTGTATTATTGTATGTTTCTCTACTCAAGGTGAACCAGCGCCAGATCCAACAAATTTAGGCTTGGGAGTTGTAATTATTTTGGTTATTCTTCTTAATGCTTGCTTTAATTTTTATCAAGAAGTGAAATCAATTAAAATAGTTGCCTCATTTTCAAAAATGATACCGGAGAAAGCAATTGTACATCGAAATGGTATTGAAGAAGAAATAATGGCTGATGAATTAGTTCCAGGTGATATTGTATCGATACATATGGGAGATAAAGTTCCAGCCGATTGTCGTCTAATTACATGCGAAGGTTTACAAGTGAACAACAGCGATTTAACAGGCGAAAGTGAACCGATTCGTTGTACAACAAAATGTACGAATTTAAATTATTTAGAATCAACTAATCTTATATTTTATTCATCATTGGTTGTACAAGGGAGTGCCGAAGGAATTGTTATTTCTACAGGGGATAAAACCGTTTTAGGACAAGTTGGTAAACTAACCCGTGGTTCTGGCTCATCGGATATAACTGCATTACATCGGGAAATAAATCGCTTTGTTTTATTTATTATTTGTGCTGCTCTTACAGCTATTATTGCGATAGTGAGTGTAGTAGAAGGTTTACACTGTGTATAATTATCATAGCCTTTCTCTTTTTTTTCTTTACAGTGGATAACATGGGCTGCTTGGCTAAATGTGACGCAACATGGCTATATTAGCGCTAATGGGAATGTTGTTAATAGTATTGGAATGGTTATTGCATTTATTCCAGAAGGACTTCCAGCTGCAGTTACTCTAGTTTTGACAATCGTTGGTAAGTATCCGTTCACAAAGCTAATTTTCAAAAATTTTTTGGTTTTGAACAAGAACTATTTATTATTTAACTTGATTTTAAATGAGAGAATATTCGCGTGAAGACGGAGAGCATTGTACACTGTAAAAAATAAAGTGTGTAGCTAGGTGAGTAAATCTTCTAAACGCTCACTGAACATCGAAAAGTGTTGATAAGAAAAAGCGAAACAAAAAACGTTCGCGTTTAAAAAATAAAAACGTTCTAGACGGTCACTGAGAATCCACTTGACGTTCACTTGTATATGTCATTTACACACTTTATTTTTTACAGTTCACTTAATACTGATTATAATCTGCCCTCACAGGACTGATTATAATCTGCCCTCAAAGTTACCCATACTGGTTAGATTTTGGGATACTACCTGATAGTCTATAGATTGAAATTTATCTTCCTAAACCCGAATCTTAGAAGAAGACGTCGGTCTTTTTTTCCAGATATCCGCCTGGATGTCCACTGTTCTGTGACCTCAGTCGAGCTCTCTGACGCTTTATAAAATTTTCGATAACCGATAGGCTCTGCCAAGCGTAACGAAATTACAGATTTTTGACTATCAAATCCTCTATTTCGTTAACCACGCCACCAAGAAAGCTGGCATTTCATGATAGATATATCCTATGAAGTTCTATTAACAAGAAAATCATAACAGATCTTGTTTTGTCGGTTAAGAGTTATAGCAGATACAGATGCCGTGACTGAATTACAAAAAAAATGGAAATTTTCTTTAATGACTTTCCAAGCTTTGTAAAATTCTCCAACTGAGACATCTTGTCAAGAAATGATTCACAGAAAAGTTGTGTCCCAATGATGTGAGCTTTCAAAATATCTAGTTTTTTGTTTTTTTGTACTTATCTATATCAGATAAACTAGGGAACATGCGCTCGGTGACCGAATTACACTTTTTTTCCTACAGTTGCTTTATTTTTTGTTTTGTTTGGTGGTGAATGTAGCAGCCAAAATCTGATTTTAATGGATAAATATATAATTAAGTGTCCTACACACGATGCACTTTAATTGAAGTAAATATATATATATTATCTTTGCGTAAAATTGATTACAAAAAGAGCTATGTGAAAATATCCATAAAACTCATCCAAAACTCGTTATTTTTACAAAAGACTTTTTCCAATGTTATTTCTCCATTAAAAATAATTCATTTTGTAGAGAATTTAATTATTTATCTTGTCGGCTGCTTTCTAACATTTTGAAGTGGAATAAGTAGGATTTTGTCTAAACAGTTGACTTGTCAATTTTACGTATAACTCTCGATTCAAAAGACATGAAAAATCAAGTTTTCTGGAAATCCAATTTTAAATATTTTTTCACTCGACCATCTGAAGAATGTCCTTAAAAATTCCTATAAACTGAGATTTATAAAAATCAATTTTGCAGTTTTTCAGATTGGTTTCTCATGCATTGTACTTTTTCTCCAGATTTCGTATAGAAAATATAATGTTTAACCGACCTAGGCTAGAAAAGAGAATCCGAGTCGAACCTTTATGGAAACACTGTTTATCAGTATATCTCTCCCTGTTAAATTCTAGCAAAACGAATGTATAAACAAAGAGTGTTAGTCAAAGCATTAGCAACCGTTGAAACATTTAATTCGGTATCGATGATTTGTACAGATAAAACTGGTACATTAACATTAAATCAAATGACAATTACACATTTACTATGGGGTACTACTGGTGAATTTTCTGTGCCGATAGAGAAGAACAACGTTCATGATGCCGGCAAATCATTTAAGGCTCTTCTGCTAGGTGGTTGTTTATGTAATAATAGTGAAAACCAATTAATTCAGGATAATGGCGATGAATCTTTAAAGAAAAGTCAAACAAAATTAGTTGGTGAAGCAGCTGATGTTGCCTTGTATCGTTTATGTGAAGAAAATTGTTCAATGAATGTTGAAAATATTCGAAAATCAAATTTAAGATTAAAAGTATTGCCATTTAATTCAAAAAATAAATTTATGATTACGGCTAATCAACTTGAAGGTGAACAAGAACAACAAAAAATATTAATAACGATGAAAGGTGCACCAGAAATTGTTGCCCATCGTTGTTCAACATATCAAAATGATAATGGAGATATTTTACCATTCACTAACGATGTAAAGCAAATAATGTTTAATCGACAAGAAGAATCGGGGAAAAATGGTTACAGAGTGATTGGAATGGCACAACAAACAATGAAAAAAGAACAGTATGATTTGATGATGAAACGGTACAAGAATACAAGAAAAACACACGAAAATAAACAAGAACAAGTGTATGAAGATTTAAATGGTTTACCCGGTGAAAATTATTGTTTTATTGGTATGTTTACTCTTGTGGATCCAGCTCGCCCAGAAGTGCCAAATGCAATATTAAAAGCTCGTGGTGCTCATATTCGTATTGCAATGGTCACTGGTGATCATCCAACAACAGCAGCAGCTATTGCTAAACAAGTTAATATTTTAAGTCAAAATATTTCAGTCGATAATGGTCTTGATACATTTAAATTAGGTGAAAATGAATCGGGCACACCTGTCTTGCAATTATTAAGAAATGGACAAATAATTGACACGCATTTACCAGGAAAAACAACAACGTTAGATTTAATTACAAATTCAGCAACTGTTAAATCGGTTTTAAAAACCACTGATAATAGAAAGTTAAATTTTTTAAAACGATGGTGGCAAACAGCAAAATCTTATGTAGCAGATCCATCGGCGACAAAGAGCAGAGATAAACAAAAATTAATCCCCTATGGTGTGGTCGTTACCGGATCTGATATACAATTGATGGATGATTTCATGTGGGATTGGGTAAGAGATTTTGAAACGATTTCGAAGATTATTGATGGAAATTATAGATCGAAAAGTTAGCGAGATATTCAGTTTATACGAAAAGCTCTGAAAAACGCTAAAGCCAGATCTGCGGCAAAAACATTAACTGACTCCCTCATGTTGAGTTACCACCAAAATATTTTTCTGTCAAGTAAAAGTTTTAGACTTGATTCTAAGGTCATTCAACAGCTTGATCTGCGAATTCATTTGCCCTCCAACCAGTTTGCTTATTAGTTCCACTTGCTAAATAAATTCGTTGATGATTGCTGGATATAGTTGCTGACTGTATATGGATAGAGACTTCTCTGCTGTTTATAAACGTTATGCTATTGTTTTAGGTACTAAGTCATAAAGAATTAGTATTTGCACGTACATCACCCGAACAAAAATTACGTATTGTTATGGAATGTCAATGTCGTGGAGAAGTTGTTGCTGTGACTGGGGATGGTACAAATGATGCTCCTGCATTAAAACGAGCTGATTTGGGTGAGAACATTTTTTGGTTTTGTTAACATGTTGCTTATTTTTACTGATATTTTATTTCAGGTGTTGCAATGCAAGCCGGCACTGAGGTGTCAAAGGAGGCCGGTGATATGATATTATTAGACAATAATTTTGCTTCCATTATTCAAGCAATTGAAACAGGAAGATTATTAAGTGATAATTTAAAAAAAGTTGCCATTTATCTACTTCCGGGAGGTTAGTTGACTTGTTTGCTGCTCGTATTATCATCATCATCAAGGCATTTCCAATAAAATTACACAAGCATTTTTCTAGTGTAGAACAGAATACCTGAATCAAGCAGCCTTACGAAACATTATTTTCACATGTGCAAGCGGGTATTTTAAGCGCTGGCACGACCGTGAGGAGCCACTACTTCTAAAAATTAATAGAGGATTTTTCGCCTCGGGAGAAAATATCAAAAAATGGAAGAAGCGCTGAAAAACCGCAGCTAAAAAAAGTTATGAGCAAAAACCCAACTTTTTTTCATTTATAATCCATAGAAAATGTTTTTTTCCAACGCTCTCCCTGCTTTTCAAAACCTATTCAGTCCGTTTCTTGAATTCTTTCACCTAAACTCTGTCAGCGAGACTTGGGAGAAAATTTCTTGCGACGGAGGTCATTCGATATGGCAAACGTAACATGGTGACGTTAGGTTTGATGAGCTTATGTTAGGTTTATCATAAACCAAACATAAGCTCATAGCTTATAGAGCGTGATCAGATCATGCGCTATAACTTCGTGCTAACAGATTTTTCAGATAACAGTTTGGCACTTATCTCATTTCAAGTTACTAAGTTTGGAGAGATTTGTTTCTATCTCGATATAATTTTATTGTTTGAACTAACGTTTCTCGATAGAGCCAATTTGTACTGCCAAAGGTATTTGTCAACAATTTTTCGCAACGACTGGTGATTTATTTGAAATGTGTCATTCGAACTATCGAGTTTGAACATCGGATTCAGTTGAGGTAGAAAATAATAATCAGATGAGACTAGTACTGGATTGATATAAGCATATTCTCTTCACATGAATAAATTTTTTAATCACGTACAGAAGTTTCTTTGATTACTTTGTTCAATCTTTTCGATTTTTGAAACTGAGCATGTTCCTCTCATATTCCGTAGTTTTGATGTTTCAACACGAGTATCCATGATCCAATGATTCCTCACATCATTCTGTTTTCTATTCATGTGACTGTACAGTACTACGCAAAAGTAGCGACTTCCATGTACCTCAAAAACCATGATATCACCAACAAAGTTTGTGTCTCTTTTACTGGATTGTTCGTGATATATAAGTTTCACTTCTTTTCCGTAAAATGCTAATAACTCCAGATCCAAGAAAGATGAAAATGTGGTCTTTTTACCAGAATGTAGTCCTTATTCTCCTCTCTATCTACGATATGAATTTAAAGCGACTATCATACTTAACATTCGGTTATCGAACAAACAAATTTCATTGAAAAGTTTCTCTCTAGGTTAGTGGTGAGTGTGTAATATTTCTGACAAAAGTTTTACATAGGTTTTTCGGAACCATAGCTTTCTATAATTTTTTTTTTCATGATTATGATGTAGATTGAATGTAGATTTTCTAGTAGAAGGAGAGACCCTTAGTTCCTCACCCTCACCGCCCTACGTATGTTTTAATAGTGGGTGCTCATTCTCAATGAATTTTCAGAATCACACAATAGTTAACATTCATACTTTGACTGTGTAGTCTATAGTCGTCGAAGAGTATTTTTGCTGTGGGTTTGAAGTCGAACTGATGTTCCCACAATGAGTTAAGACTTTTTTGTCTGGAAGGGATCATATATCTCAGGACCTCATTTTCAGGTGTCTCGATTGTAAAATAGCTGTATTTCAGTATCCATTAGCAACTTCCTCTTTAAATTCATATCGTAGATAGCAAGGAGAATAACGACTATATTTTGGTAAAAAGACAACGTTTTCCTCTTTCTTGGATCTGAAGTTATCAGCATTTTGCGAAAGAGAAGTGAAACGCTTATATCTCACGAACGATCCAGTAAAAGAGGCTCAAACTTTGTGGATGATCAGCATTCGGTAATAGCTACAACTACACAAAATAAGAAGTTCCTAGCTATCATGATTCTTGAGTTACATGGAAGTTGCTACGTTTGCGGAGTACTGTATTATTAACAACGATCCTGGTCTCGATCAGCATTGACACCGAGTTGTAATTCCACTATTATTTCTTCCTTTTTGCTAATAAACAACGACAACATTCCCAGTTACCCACTACGTGCCAGTATGTAATTGGAATGGTCCACTGTTTACTTTGCAATTAGTAGCACGATAGGCTTTATGTAGCTAATCCTCAATGTCGATACATGATGTCTCATTGTGTATAGATTTGAAAATAATAATAGTCTTGGTTTATTTCTTAAGGCTCATGGTCTGAAGTTATACCGGTATTTTTTTGTGTATGGCTTGGAATCCCATTGGCATTATCAACATTTCAAGCAATCATATTTTGTATGTTAAATGATGTATTTAATGCATTGGCAATGGTATCAGAAAAAGCTGAAAAAGATATTATGTCTCGTCCACCGCTTATCAGACATAAAGGACATTTGTTAGATGCAAAATTATTATTACATGCCTATATGATTATTGGAAATTTAGAATGTTTTACAGCATTTTTTTGCTATTTTTCATGGTACGCCAGTCAAGGTATTCCATTATCAAGTATATTTTTAACCTACAATAGTTATGGTAAAAATCCGCCAATTAATTATACAACCGACGAATTAACAACAATAAATGAAAGTGGTCAATCTATATACTATGTGGCATTATGTATCATGCAATTTTTTAATCTAATGAGTACGTATTTCAACGAAAAACAGCAGAAGTTATCTCTTGAATCACTTTTTCTGTCAGTTATTCATGTTTCTCGAAACTTCCTCCGATCTGTTTACAGCATTTAATTTTGAACAAAATTGTATAAACAGAATTTTGGAAAATTTGACAAAAGAATTTCAGAAATTTTTGTTAGCCTCTGGTATTGGAAGAGGAAAAGTCAGAAATACTTTTTCTCATTTTCGGTTTAGCTGTCTTCGATATAAATCTGCAGTCGACTGTGCTATGAAATTTGTTTACTCGCATGAGAAACTCGATGAGAAATTGGAAACGGTTTTTTTGCTTTTAATGCTGCGATTATCATTCCGATCTACATTTGCGAAAATTGTACAGATGCCCGAGACAAAATCTTACGCACTTGGTGTCTATTTCCTATTAGGATCTTAGACGATCCTAACATTTTGGATCTACCTAATAACTTCCTGAGATGATATTAAAATGCTAGGATCCTAGTTGAATTTCGCTTTAGTTTCTTAGGTTCCTAACAGATCCTTAGAAAATCCTGTGACTTTCGAGTATACCTGATTCCATTAGGATTCTATACGATTTTGTTAGGATCCTAAGAAATTAAAGCGAAATCCCAGTAGGATAGTGGAAGGATATGTCTCGGATCGTGTCGGACTAAAGTGGGGACCATGTCAGTTCTCAGCCTTGTAGAAGTTTTTCATACACCTGTTTTTGAACAAAGAATCGAAAAAAAATTGCTGTAAAGAAATTCTTTGTTTTTTGCATTATTGGGTAGTTGTTCGATATTCTCTCAAATAATCTCTTTGAAGATTTCAATGAACAAAACCGACTGTCTTTGGTCGATCTCGTAAAATGTTCCAAAAGTAAAATATCCCGCATCTGTGTAGGGTCTCTCGTTGCAGAAATACAGCCATTTGACTGGTATATAGTGTAATAAAGAAATTGTCAAAAGAAAACAAAACATAACAGAACAAAAACTTGTCTGTTTAGAAAAACTAGTTTTTGAGGATTATTGGTAAAATGTTTGTTTCATCTATTTCTTCACTCTTGTCAGCTACAAAAAAAGTTTTGAAATTTTTTTTTTCCACAACTTCAATGACTTTGCTCTACATATCCTGAAATTTTCATCGATTTCTGACACCATCATCTTTCCACAACTGAGTCATTTTTACAGATAATCTAACTCATAATAATAGGAAAACAATCGCCTAATTTTTGTGTATTCTCTCTGCACAAGGGATGAAAATAAACTAATCAATTCTTACTTACTCCGATAGACTATACATTTCTACATGTAAAATGCTTATTTTACCCGTTAATGAATTAGATTTTCATGGTGTGAGTGGGGGCTCTATAAATAATCAAAAGAAAAGGATAATAAAGATTGCATTGAAAGAAAAAAATCGTTCATAGCTTCTGATCGAGTTTTTGATGTGAGTAAACAAATATCACAGCACAGTCGACTGCAGATTTAGATCGACGACAGTTATGGTGAAAATGAAAAAAATATTTCTGGTTGTTCTTGTTACAGTACCAGAGGCTAACTAAACTTTCTGAAATTCTTTTGTCGAATTTTCCAAAAACATTTGTTCACAATTGCATGTTGGTCACGATAATATAGTTTTTTCAAGACTTTATTGTTTGCCATACTTGGGCAAACAAACGGTTTCGTGCAAATGTCGGATTGATTAGGTTCGATTTTCGTGTTTAAAACCCCTTCTCTTCTCTATAGGACAAACAGCCCCTTATGTACGGCCTGTAGTATCTCCTGGTGGAGTTTTTCATTTATTGGCCACAGCTTTACTACTTTTCTCATTGTATTGGTCAACCACATAGAGGATTTTTAATTTCATGTCACTGTGGTCGATTCCGACAATCGTTGGTTTTTATTCTAGGTAGTCG